TTTTATCTTATTTTATTGTAAGATTGTGTGATTAAATTAGGGGTATTTTATGTATTTTTCCCGTTTTTTTTTTGTTTTTGTGAGTTTATATGAGGTTTAAATACGTATTTTTTGTGTGAGTAAGATTATGTGAGACTAAATTGGGGTACTGTATTTTATATTTTATTTCTCAGAGTGTGTGAGGTTATTTTAGTTGCCTCACGTGTAATGTTCCATACAGTAATGGCTTTTGTAGACTGTTGTAGTCGTAAAGTAATTTTCTATTGAATTTAAATAGCAGTAAATAGAATGTAAAAGTTTATGTTCTATTTATTTTATATTTTTTTTAATAAGTTCGTTCTCTTAAAAGTAATGATATCAGAAAATTTAAGTGTAGAAAAAAGTAGAAAATGCATTACATACTTTATCGAGTTTATTACCTAAAAGTAGTAAATAAAGTATGAAGTGTTTATATGTGAAAATTACCTTCCCTAAAAATACTAATGAAAAATTGTATCGTAACCTCATGCCCCATCATACTCAACCTCATGCCCCATCATACTAACCTTCATGCTCCCATCATACTCAACCTCACGCCCCATCATATCAACCTCCTGCCCCATCATCAACCATGCCCAATCATACTAACCTCATGCCCCATCATACTCAACCTCATGCCAATCATCATACCCAACCTCATGCCCATTCATACCACCCTCTGTCCCAACATACAAACACAGCACACCTCTCTCCCCCAGAAGACACCACCCCATCCCTAACATACCTACACCCTCCCAACATACACCTCCCAACATACACACTCTTCCCAATATACACACCCCATCCCCAACATACTCACCCTCCCCAACATGTGACACCCTCCCAACATACTATGGTGTGTATGTAAATAATGCACAATAACTGAATTAACAGGAAGATGAGACACTGAATTCGATAAAAAATAAGATAAATGGATAAAAATGTTAATGAATTAAATAACCGACGAAAAAAAAGATGAATGGAATAACTAAATGAAAAAAAATAGAAAAAACATAAACACGACTTATACCTGAATTAATTTTTCAAGGGCAGTGCGTCACTATATTACACCCTGGTTGTTAGTGGCTCATGACTCACTGTACACACACAGACACACACAGAGTGACAAATAGATGACTATATTGATATATACCACAGCTGGTCGGTGGGTAGGTAAAGGATACGTAATAATAATAATAATAATAATTAACGGTTTATTAAGATAACATGGCAGTCCCAAGGTTGAAAATATACAATGAACAGATGGGTGTGTATGTATGTTTGAGGGTATGTTGGCGGAGGACTGAGTATGTTGGTGGGGGGCAGCGAGTATTTTGAGGGAGGGGGTGTATGTATATATGTATGTATGTTTGTATGTTGAGGTAGGGGATAGTATGTTTGTGGATGGGGATGGTGTGTTGAGAAGGGGTGAATGTATGTATGTGCAGTATGTTGGGGAGTTGGTGAGAATGTTGGGGAGGCAAGGGGAATATAACATGTGTGTCGTGAGGGAGAAGGTCACTTAACAGAGTCTTTCAGCATAGTACACAGAGGAGGAGGAGGAGGAAGAGCAGGAGGGAGAGGAGGAGGAGGAGGAGGGAGAAGAGGAGGGAGAAGAGGAGGAGGAGGAGGAGGAGGAGGAAGAGCAGGAGGGAGAGGAGGAGGAGGAGGAGGGAGAAGAGGAGGGAGAAGAGGAGGAGGAGGAGGAGGGAGAAGAGGAGGAGGAGAGACTTGACGTAAACACAAAGGTGGATACGAGTTGTTGATGGTTTTCGCACTGGTTGAGAATGATGCTGTTGCTGTAGCGATCAGGACGAGGTTAAGAGGTAGTGTTGACTTGATATTGTGTGTGTGTGTGTGTAAATGACCAGTACTTAGATATACACACACAGACATACACACACACACCACTACCATTCTCCCCACCACCACCACCACCACTACCACCACGGGTCATTAAACCTCTCGTAAATAAATATCTCCGCCATGAAACGATCTCATATTATCAATAAAAATAAATAAATCCTTAATTGTGTCCCAGCTGTGATCAACAACTGTGATGCGTTGTCTAAAAAAAACGACAACTTTAAAAAAAATAAATAAATAAAATAAATACAACAAGAGTAGCTGTCATACTTATAGAGACAACAACAATAACAAAAACAACAACAACAACAGCAATAACAATAACAACAACGATGCCGGAGAGAGGGAGATATGAATCACTATGTTGCAGAAAATTGCAGGAAAGGTGAAGAGGTCAACTACATGAAGAAGAAGAAGAACGAATAATGCCCCCCCCCGTGTGTCTTATTGAGGGAGATAGAAAGCTTTGTCTTGTTTATTTTTTCTTCATTCTCGAGGGAGAGATGGAGATGATTGTTGGAGGAGAGGTGGAGATGATTGTTGGAGGAGAGATGGAGATGATTGTTGGAAGGAGAGATGGAGATGATTGTTGGAGGAGAGATGGAGATGATTGTTG